ACTACTGCAAATCTCGCATCATCAACTTTAGAAGACACTTCTAATTATTAAATGTAAAGTATCAATCTTCATCCGCCATATAACAGAAAAATTAAATTAAAAAAAATTATGTCATTTCATACCTCAGATCAAGGCAAGGCGAGCATTGACCATTTTCAATGATCAGTAGTCGCTTAGAATCAAGAGCTTCCTTGATTATCTCGCATCTTTCGGCAATCAAAGCAGTCAGCTGGATCAACTCGTTATGAGTGACGTCATTCAATACGGGTCGCGAATTTGCACTGAGAATTACCTACGTATCAGAAAAATTCACGTCAAATTAGTAATGCACATTTTAGCAATAGTAGAGTACTGCAGTAGTACTTTCGATCCGTTTCGTAACAGTTCGCGAACGAACGGGAACACACCCAGGACGATATCGAAACCACTGTTGTCGACAAAAACGCATGCGCAGTGATATGTCTGCTCACCGTTGTGTTTCATTTGCGCTAACCACTGATCGAAGTCATCAAACAACCACGGCCTTTCTATAAAACAAAAAGAACATTTTCTAAAACTCGTTCAGTTCTGTCTCTTAATCTCCAACAGAAATGACGCTTCCGTAGTTTTAGTCACAAGGAATAGACAGACGGTAAAACCGGTTAAAAAATGCCCACATTTAAGTTAACCTAAATTTGCCAAACAACAGTTTTGCCCTAAGGTTGATCCATGTGGTTGATTTGTTCGAAAACCTTTATCATCTGCCAATTCCTTGAGCGCACAACCATTACAGCGTCATTTTTCTTTCAAAAACCCATATATTAGGTGAACAATAACAAAGATCGGGGTTCATGCCTTCTACCGGATAATTTGAATTCGTTTTATAAAATAGCAGCAATGGTGGCACGGTTCGGCTTCGAACTCAATCTTTGTCTTAAAGGCGAATTCCGCTATGTAATTAAAAACACACAGTTTCATTCCAACCAGTTAGATGCCTTGCGAATATCAGGGACGGCTTTATATTCAGGAGTTGCCATTCCAAAATGGGCGGGGTTTACGCTATGCTCTTCTGAATGTGATTTACTGCTACCAACCTGATATCTGACTACGAAGTGTAATAATTAGGGCAATGGACATATTGTGCTTATATTTTGTGGCTTATTCTCATAGTATGTACTGTAATGCAACAAACATAGCAAACCCTTACGTTCCTAGAAGCAACGGGACGGTGTGACTAGCCGTACGAATCCAGAGAAGTAGCAGAAGACTGTTATTCTTATCAGCGGGATTGAAAACTAGCAGTTTGCATAGTAACGTCGTGATAACAGGGTCAATTTTGTCATATAATTTTAGCTATGCATTTGATACACTATTACACCTGATAAAATGAACTGAAAATGAACATCGTTAATACCAATTCATTACATTCCTTTTATCTCGTAAAAAGGCCGCGATTGTTTGCCGGACTTTGACCCTTGGCTAACGTGAATAAAAAGCATGAAATTCCTATGGATTTTTAATAAAACAAAGTATATATCAGATCAGCGTTAAGGGCGAGTTAGAAATAAAGTATTTTTACCGTTCTCAGGCTGTTACATGTTTCATACTAATAATGAATATGCTTTATGGC